AAAATTGAAGAGGCAGTCTTTAGGATACTGGGACAGAGGAAAAAAATGAAAAAAAAAAAAAGTAGGTTGCTGAAAAATGGGATATTTTTATTTGTTTATTCATTCATTCATTCATTCATTCATTCATTTTAAGATGACCGGTAAGGGGATCTTAACCCTTGACTTGGTGTTGTCAGCACCACGCTCTCCCAAGTGAGCCAACCGGCCATCCCTGTATAGGGATCCGAACCTGTGGCCTTGGTGTTATCAGCACCACACTCTCCCGAGTGAGCCACAGGCCGGCCCTAAAAATGTGATATTTTTAAAGGAGTACAATTTTTGCAGAGAGCAGAGGTGAAAATGTGTTCACTAACAGATATTTGAATTCAACGTGAAGGTGAGCTGCTCATGTAAAAATGTCTCCATTTGTCTGATTATGTGAGACTATAACACAGCTGCTAGATTAAGCTGGAGATACCCATTATCTTCATGACACCATACACTTAGTCTGTTCCCTATTTAGTCCACTAACTTCTCTTCTGCTCTCTTCTACCCTTGATTTAACAGACTATGAAAGGATGGGTATACAGTGATACAATTTTTGAATGGCACTGTAACAATCCTTCCTAAATAAAGATCATAGAATTAGATATTTTGATATCATATCCAGTACATATTTGATCGATTATTTTGAAATCAGAGACCAGGAAACATCAGAAATGAGGTCATTCCTGCTACGTATATAAACCCTGAAACTCTGGCCAGGTGGCATTACGTTACATTTCAAGCCCAGATCTAACCTTCCATTAAATCATTCCCTCCATAAAGATAATTTGGGAAGTAAAATGAAAATTATTTTAAGATGAATAGGATAAATTCGTGCTGAACTAGGGAGGTTAGTTCTGAGTACCTTCACATAACAAGCAACTAATTTCAAGTTTCCATTCCATACAACAGGACCAGACACCACACAGATTACCAGAAAATGACAGCTTGCTCTTTCCCATCGATAGTCCACTGGGCTGAAGACATGATGGTAAATTAATCACTTTTAAAGACGCACTGAATATGATGGCAATCGCAGCTCTTATCCAAAGAGCTCACGGAAACTCACTGAAACTTGCAACCAGGGATGCAACTAATATTCTGTGAAGAGCCCTCGCCAAACCATTGACTATAAGACTTTCAGCACACCCAACCATACCCAACCAGCTGCCGGGCTCCCATGACGAAAAGTGGCACCTATATTCACAACATATATCAATCGATCTATCAATTGATCGATATGTATACATACAGGAGTCTATCCTTATCCACATGAATGTGTTCCAAGACCCCAGTGGATGCCTGAAGCTGCAGATAGCATGAAACCCTATATACACTATTTTTCCTATACATACACACCTATGATAAATTTAACTTATAAATTAGGCACAGTAAGAAATTAACAGTGATAACTAATAATAAAATAGAACAATTATTACAATATGCCAGCATCATTACTCCTGCACTTTGGGGTCATTATTAAGTAAAATAAGGGTGACTTGGATACAAGTACTGCGATATCACGACAGTCGATCTTATAATTGACAGTCAATCCGATAACCGACAGTCGCTCTGATAACTAAGACAGCTACTAAGCAACTATCAGGCGAGTGGCCTCTACAGCGTGGAGATGCTGGACAAGGGAGTGACTCACATCCTGGGGACAGACAGAATGGGACAGCACATGATTTCATCACTCCATCCAGAACAGAGCACAATTTAAAACTTATGAATTGTTTATTTCTGTAATTTCCCATGTATATTTTCAGACTGCAGCTGACCACAGGTAATTGAAACAGTGGAAAGCAAAATCATGGCAAGTGGGGGTACTAGCGTAGCTGTCATTCCTGTGGCTGCCTATTGTGACATAAGGTACAAAAAGCATAAAAGCAGGACTTGGGATGGAAATGTAAGACTCTTATAATGAATACGTTTTTAAAAAGCTTTTTACCCTACATTAGTAGTTTATATCTGAAAAGTAAAGCTCTTCAAAAAAACAAAAATGAGCAGAAAAAAATTTTTAAGGACTTCCCCATTCCTAATTGATATTGCATTTTCTAATATATATTATAAAATAATATAAATTATTTTATATAAATATAAACTGACATCAGCAAAAATATGCCTTTTACTCAGTAAAGTTATGCTTAAATTCCTTAACTGTCTTTTAAAAAGTGCATTTATTATTTTCGCTATTCATTATTTTGGGGGTTTTAAATTCAGACTTTTCATTAAATGTGATGTTACAAAGTGAAATAGGTTAAACATTATATTAAGTCACAAAATAAAAATACAATCAAGAAATCCAGCTGTCAAGAACAAAAAATCTCATCATACAGTAGAATTGCTGTGATTTATTTGGGGAAGTGTTGCATATCTGAACAAACTTCCTCTCTACTGATCTCTAAATAATATCTAAGCTGTTGTATCTAAGTATATTTCTATGCAGAAGGCAGTAATCACAGAACATTTAAACCATCTCTGTCATTCAGTAAATGTGGAAGCTGAGGCATAAAAGAGTTAAGTGACTGGCTCAGACTCTATCAGGTATAAGAAGCTATCTTTTGTCAGCAAAGTGTACAACTCTCTAATTTACCCTAAAATGGTAGTAACTGGAGTCCTGCTGTAATTCTGCTGAGTACTATTTACCACATGCACTGACATACAAATGTCTAAGAAATAAAAATGTAAGCACAATCATAATATTTATTGTACAGCACTATCGACATTTTGGGTCAAATAACTCTCTGTTGTGCGTCACTGTCCTGTACATTACAGAACGTTTAGCAGCATCCCTGGCCTCTACCCACCAGAGGCCAGGAGCACACCCACAAGTGTGACAACCAAAAATATTTCCAGACATTGCCAACCACTGGTCTAATCACTGGGAAGAAAATTGCTGAATTAGACATTTTTTAAGTTAAATAAATTTATCATTTCATCATAATCATTTTGGAAGCTCTCAGAATTTTCTACTTACAACTCTGACCCTAAACAATGTGCAATCAGACTCACTGGAGTTGTCTCGAAGTGTTATATCTCCAGTTTACAGGTTGTACCAATTATAGGACGTCATGTAAATAATGGCATGGGACTCAGTAATAATCAACTTAAACAAACACTTTTGAAAACGAATCTTAAAAACTAAGGATGCAACCAATGTACTTATTTTGATTCTCACACAGATTCACAACTGATATTTTAGATTTGCCATAAAATTTAGCTGGGTGCCTTTTGTGAATCCTTTAGAGTTTTTTCTGATATTGTTTCATGTTATAAAATATTAAATTCTCTCCATGTTTCACTTGCCTTCATAAGTATGAGCCCTTATTTTATTCACTGAGAATATTCTCCAGGATAAACTCTACAATGTTTAGATGGCTGGGACATAAGTTTCTGCAATCTTATTCCTTCTTTCTCTCCTCCTCCCTCACTCTTTTTGGTCCTTTTATTTTCTTCACAACATGGAACACTGCAGAAGGGAATCAGGCATTATTGAACTTTTGGTTTTAATGGGTTTTTTAAATGATTGCTGCTAATATCTTTCAATGTTCTTTGCTTTTCATGCTGACCTTCAACAAATTTTCTGATGTTCTGAGCAAGAGTCCGGACACTGCTTGGAAGATTCCAAGGATCTTGCTTGATGTGAAGTCTTAACCTTTTTGGACAACTCAGCTTTTGTTCCATTTCCTGTTGAAATTCTAAATAAATACAGAAAAATCTCTCTTAAGTATCAACAAATTTCCAAACAATTGTAGGCTTCAGAATCTTCTTTCTTTCTTCGCTGTTGTCCTAGAATATTACCATGATGGTTTTCTTCAGCTATATCACAATAGAAAACTCATTAAATCTAAAGAGTCAAACTTTAATGTTATTTTCCTAGAAATGTTTAAATAAGGAAGAAAATTTAGATGAAAACTCTACTTTCAATATCCTAAACTAGATGCCAGAAAGTGGCCACTCTATATCCTGTTCTCTTTGCCGACTCACATTCCCCAAACACCTGCCCCACTACTGGGTTATAACCAAGTAGGCATTATGATTGGTTTCGGCAAAAGCAGCTTAACACTTACATATCTTAAATTAACTAATTTTCATTCAGCCTGACTCTATTTTAAACTTTCAAGGAAATCTAAAAAGTCTTATACTGACTTTTTTACATATTCATATATTATCAACATAGAAGTAGTAGTCAGTGGATTATGAAACATGAACAACTAGAATCTTTCTTCTTATATGATGGTTTTGCTTCATGATTATATTATCTGCCACCTTTTGTTTCCCAATTGCCTCTACTAGTTATTTTTTAAACCTTACCTTGTAACCCTCGACCTGGAGTGAGATACTTGGTTTGATCAAAGGCCCTCACAACAGCTTGCCCTTTTAGAAGATTGGTAATCGAGTCCACCTATAAGTAGCAGAGATTTCCGAGAGTTATATACTTCTGATAATACGTAATATAAATTTCTAAGAGTAAATCTTGCAAAGTATTTTTTCTTAAAGCAACAATTATTTTTGAAACCTCGTGATGCTTGTGAAATCTATCTTTATATAAAATATTGAAATAAACTCACCTGATAACATTTGCAAAAACATCTCTTATTATTTTACCATATATTAATACCCAATATAAATTCACTTCACAGAAGAAAGTAAAAGCTCTAGAGTTATTTTTAAAAATAATACTTAAAAGTGACTGGAATCCTTTTCAAAGTGGCAAAAGCTTCTACACTACAAATTTTGGTTACATTTATACATTTTAAAAAGATTCAAAACACTAACGTGAGCACCAAGACAATCTTGTACTTTTTGAAATAGTGAAAGGCTGATTAATGGACACAAAAGTACAGTGAGATGGGAATAATAAGCCCGACTGGTGTATAGCTGACCCGGAAATCTATAATTAATAATGATTTACTGCATGTAACCAAACGATTAGAAGAGAGGAGATCAAATGTGCATATCACAAAGAAATGATTAAGTTTTGCGATGATGAATAGACTAATTACCCTGAATAGATCAGCACACATTGTATGTATGTGCTGAAATCTACTCTGTACCCCATAAATATGTATGATCAATACGATTCAATAAAAAAATCTAAGAAAGAAATAATGTTGAGCCAGAATGTCATAAAGTATTCTGAAAACCCACACAAAAAAACAAATAATAAAAAGGATAACTCCTATGTGTATAACTACAATTTTCCAAGGACTGTAAAACAATTGATATTCACAAAAATCCTTTGGGTCAGCTGGCTGAAGGAATCTTTACTCCCATTTTAAATTGCAGAAATTGAGGTAAAGGCAGTGGAGGGACAGACTGAGGCCTTTCCACTCTGACTTTGAGCTCTTTTTACTATGTACAAAAAGAGAGACAATTTAGTGTGTGGAAGAAAAGACCCACAACTGCCCCCATGGTACCTGGCTGAAAAGATGTTCAAGGCAACTATGTATCTTGTCCTGTTTATCATGAGAAATTCGAACACTTAGGGGAAATTCATCACCTAGATGTTAAAAAGACAAAACAAAAATCATCCGCCTTATGTTTAACATTCCATAATATTTTAATATCAAATAAAATTTTAAAACTAAGAATGAGTTCAGAAAAAGAATTCGAAAATATTTAATAGCTCCTGGGCCATCAGATTATTGTTCTTTCTGAATCAGGTGAAAGCAGAGTGCCTCACAGATAGGATACTTCTGAGGACATGTCAGTATCTCATGTCAATGATTCTTTCAAACGGTGTGTTTTTCTAATGGTTGAAGAATGTGAAACTGCATATTAAAAAATTAAGCTTTGTCCTAATTGGATGAAAAGTCTCTGTTCTTAACACACACACACATGCACACACACACACACACGCACACACGAGGATACATAAGAAATTTACATAAATCAGTGTTTTTCTCATCCCCCAGCTCCACATCACCACATGTAAGCTTGCTCAAGTGCACCTGCTGTTATCAAAAGGCCTTAGATTCAAACTCCTCATCTCCCCACCTAAATCAACAATGCCTAATGCTCTTAGTAAAACTTATTTCCTGTGAACCCATAATCCTTCATAGTACCATAGAAAGATTATAGAACATGTATTAAGAGAAAAATTAGCTTCCATCTTTCACCTCTCTTTAGTTCACTCGCTTTCTGATGGGACTGAGAAATTGACTTGATCAAGCACATAGAACTAAAATGCCATGTGTGTGGCCACCGAGAATGAGTGATAAAAGGTAAAAATGCACACGGATCAAAGAAATTAATTCCAAAAAGGTATCTCCAATAGGACTAACATCACAAAGTACGCACACCTTCCCCATACACACCTGAGTCCATTTCATCACTGTGAAAATAGGAGCTGCACTGGCTGCTGCAAATGCTGGTGAAGGAAGCAATAGAGTTCCTGTTGCTGTTGCAGTCACTGAAAAGAATAAGTTACATGTCACTTTCAGAGTATGTTTGCCCAAGTTTCCCTAAAACATCTTATTACATAAACTATGCCAGTTATATTTATTAATAAGTTTTATAGAAAACTGAGAAAGATAAACTTCTTTAACTCAGTTAATCTTACTTTTTAAAAAAATATGTATTTTGAATTCATTCCTATTTCAAAACTTCTTGTCCTATAATCTAATCCTAAATAATTTTTTTAAATGTGTAGTTATAAAACTAGGAGTCAAACTAAACTTAAAATCCTTCATGATCTATTTGATGGCACATGCCTATAGTTAGATAACTTGCTAATAGAGACAAAGTCCTGTTTCATGATTTCTGCTTTCCAACTCATTCTGGAAGTTCAAATTTATAACTTACTGACTACACCCTAAGTTCCCTCAGGGAGAACTGGTACCTTATCTGTCTCTACGTTTGAGCTCAGCACAGGTTAGGGCTCAAAGATGACAAATATCCAAGGATAGAATGTTTAAAATGTTTGTGTGTGAATATGGACATATTCCACATTTCAGAAATTGTGCAGGAGATAAATTTTTTTTTCCCCTCAGAATAAGTGTAGAGAAAGTGAAGGAAAATGATCAGGGCTCCTCAGATGTTCAGAATCTTGCCAAGCATTTGATGTAAATATGCATGTGTGCCCAGGTATTCCTTGGCTATTGTCTGATATAGATACACATGGGCACCTAGGTGTTCCTGGCTTGTCTGAATTGCACCCAGGTGTCCTGGGTTATCAGACTTAAGTATAAAGGATGAGCGGCTCTGATCCACAGGGCACCCCCACCTCAGGGATGCCCAGGGTGGGGGTGGATGGGGAGGCCACTACTGCTGCTGGAGGTTGTTGCTCCAAGCTGCTGCTGCCAGAGCCCCCAGGACCCTCCAGGAGGCCACCGCTGCTGTTGTTGGGGACTGCTGCTGCTGCTGCTGCTGCTGCTGAGGACTGAGCTTGTGTTGTCTGCCAATGGCTCCCGGGATCTTTCCCAACTACCTAGCTTGTGAACCTAAGTGTGAGGGGTCTGGTGACCCAGCCAGGCATGTAAGGGGTCTGTGACCCATTCTGTACAATGGCTTTGAAGGATCCATGGGCCTTAGCCCTAGCAATACAATTGGCTATGTCAGCAGGATTCCAACAATTGCCCAAGCCCTGCAATAAGTAAAAAGGATTTATTTAACTTTAAATTTATATTTTAAATTTCTATCTTGACCAAGAGGGACACTGTGAGAGTAATTTTAATTATCTGATAACTAAAACTTGAGGTAAGAACATATTTTTAGATACATAATTTCCCACTAGAGAAAATCCACAGATTCCTATTAAAGAGCATGTTGGTATCCTTAGAAGCTGAAAGTAAATGAAATGGTAAAAGTGGTTAATCTGGTGATGTATTATTAAGCTGTGATATATTATTAAGTCTTTAAGAATTAACTCTATGTAGCCGTTAAAGCCCTTTCTGGAAACATAGAAATTGGGATGGTAGAGTGGTTAAGAGCAAAACTGTGAAGCAAGACCACCTGGTCTCTTGGGTAAATGATGCAGCTCCTGTGAGCCTCAGTTTCCTCATACGGAAAATGGAGTTACTACCAGAACCTGCCACATAAGGTTGTTAGCTATTAGTTTGTGATAGACGTCTCTGATGAGGATAACTTTGATTTAATTAATATTTACACAATATCTTTTCAGGGTGAAACACTGTGTAATAAACAAGTGTGAATAAGACAGTTTTTGCCTTCAGTGAATGTAAATGAAACAGGAGATGTTGAAACCGCACACACAGCATACGTGGCTAGTTATGACAGTTCTCAGTGAGGTTTCAGGTGATACAAACATTCAAGGAAGAAGAAGCACTTTTCAATTAAGAGAAGTTCATTAGGTAGTTCATCTGGTAGGAAGATGACACAGATAGTGGGGGGAAGGTGCTATGGGCTGAATTGTGTCCCCCAAAACTGATACACCGAAGTCTAACCCCAGTGTCTCAGAATGTTACCTTATTTAGAGATAGGGTCTTTACAGAGGTAATCAAGTTAAAATGAGGGTGTTAGGGTGAGTCCTTAATTAAATATGGCTGGTGTCCTTATAAGGAGAAAAAAAGTGGACACAAAGACACTTATACAGGTAAGATGATGGGAAGAGACATGGAGAGAAAATGGCCACTTTCATGCCAAGTAGAGAGGCCTGGAACAGACCCTTCCTCACAGCCCTCAGAACCAACTTAGCCGACACCGTGGTTCCGGATTTCCGGCCTCCAGAAGTGTGTGATAATAAATTTCTGCCACTTAAGCCATCTAGTTTGTGATGCAGTGTTACAGCAGCCCTAGAAAGCTAATACAGAAGGCATCCAATAGAAGAAAAACATAAAGCTGGTCATGGAGGTGGAAAGTGAAGTTACTCCAATTAGCTAGGAACATGGAATACAAAAGAAAGGGGAGAAACAGGACAAAAATAACTCCTATTCACTCCCCAATAAACCAATGATCAGAAACAGATATTTGAAAACAATGCTCATATAGGCACAATTTTCTTAGGTCCACACAACTGGAGAATAAAAATGCTTTTTCCCAGTCATTCAAATTATAAAAGGAGAGAATTTAAAAGATTATGTTGTCCCATTATGCTTTATCTGGGGTTGGTAATAACAGGTGATTGTTTTGAGACAGCAAGAAACAAAACCAGGAATCAAAAAAATTTGTCAAGACCTCGAAGGAAAATACAGAATCATATTTGACTCTGTTGATCAAATGAGTTTGAGGAATTAATGAGTTACCTGTAAGAGTCTCTGTTGCTGATGGTGTCATGACCTGAATCTTCCTGCTCATCTCCTGCTACATTAAAACAGACTCGTTTGCTGTTTCTTTCTCCCCTCTCATTGTCACTGTCTGTTGGTATTATGCATTCTGATGTCTTACGTTCCAATTTAGGAGAATATGTTATCAAAGACAGAAGGCTGCAATGTGATATTAAAAAAAAATTAAATGCATGTTTTCAAAGTGGCTGCTACAGATAACTACCTTATTCGTTTAATATGATAGGCTTACAGATATTTCCAGAGTGCTTCTGTGTTTCACATAACATAAATACTCTATTGAATAAAAAGCATGTCACAGGAAGCTGGTTTCTTCTTCTCAGAGTCAATAATAGAAACAGCACACAACTGAGAACAGAAAGCGGTATTCGAATTCAGGTTCTGCCACTTATTAGCTTTGTTATAATAACAAAGCTATGATAGTTCTCTTTGACAGTTCTCAGATGGGGATGAGAATAACTAGCCCCCACGAGTGCTGTGAGAATAAAATAAGAACATATTCCTGCAGAACGAGTATCATGCCTCTCCCCTGCCATTTCCACCACCACCACCATACGGAAACTACCTGGGAAATTTTAAAGTGCTAACCAAATATTAAGCCCAAACACTTAGTATACTTTAATATCCTCCCTGGCTCACCCTCACATACTAAAACCCCACCTGCCTTGGGTCTCTCACAGGCTTTCTCTATTGATTGTATTGTCAATTGCTCCTCACTGTACACACAGCAGTCCTGGCCTTACTGATTGTGGGACTCTAATCAGAGTCACATCCGAGGACAAATCAAAAGCTCTTCTACTTGGCTCAAGGCTAGAACACCACATTCAGCCTGAATTGGCATAAAATCTGATGAAGACTTTGAGTGGTTACTGATGTCACCACTTTAGGCTTGAATGTTTGGCTGTAGAATGCTTCTGGTAGCTCAAAATTAGGCAAAAATGGAACTGGTCTTTATTATTAAACAGTGTGCTATAAAACTTGCAAAATGAATTAAACCATATCTAAACAAGGGGCCCACACATGGCTTCTCAAGCCAACAATCTCTTCTCATTTACTAAATAACTATGCCACTCATTTCCAATCCATAGCACATATCCTGACATTCATTTTTTCCTAGCAATGAAATATTTATTTTATTTCAAAATTATGAAAATATCTTATACTTCATACATATCCCATAATGTCAAACCTGTTAAATGATTTCACTAATTAATTAAACACATTTATTGCTCTATGCATTGTTGTTGGTGCTGTGGATAGAGCAGTTAATTAAAATGTACAAAACCCCCGACCTTCTCAGAGCTTAAATCCTTCTGGAAGGAGACAATAAATAAGTAAACTTCATAGTCTATCAAATGGGACAAATATTAAAGAGAAAACTAAAGAAGAGAAGGAAGCACAGAGCTGCAATTTCACATAACATAGCCAGGTAAGGTCTCACTGTGAGGTGACATTTGAACAATATTTTGGCATTTGATAGCTTCTAGAGACCAGTGAAAGTTGGAGGATCTATATCACATTGCTCAAGGCCCTGTGAACATTTTCAATAACTGAAAGCTTTGGATTATTATTATTATTATTACTTTTATGTCATGTAAGACAGATTGTGTATTTATTCACCCCCTCCACCCAAAAGATTAAAACATTAGACTCACTCCAATTACTCAAGTTCCATTCAGCACAGACAGATGAACTCTGAATACCAAAGAGGAAAGATATGCAGGAGTTCTCACTTGGCAAAGAGTCCTCCGTGTTTATGCATCTTTTAAATAGAAATCATGGCACTAAGCAGAAACATTTTTTTCAAAGTTATATGAATTGTATTCACATATTTGCTTTTCATTTTAAACAGCTGCAATCAAGTTTACACTGACCCCGTGGGAATAAGTGTTAGGCTTACCAACACATGATTTAAAAAAACATGTTTCTGATACCCTGTGTTTGCTTAAAGTTTCTAGATTTTGAAAAGCAGCGCTAAGACATCAAACTATAATATTTTATTTGTGCATGCAGAAACATGTTCCTTTGCTTTTCTCCATATACAATATTAAGCTGCCTACTAAAGGGCCATTAAATAAAATCCTGAGCAACGTGCCCTTCCAGATCAATCTCCTTCTAATGTTGATTAATATAGATTTTTGAACACAGTATATTGCATTTACTTGTGTGGTTTTAAATATCATCATCATCATCATCGTCATTATCATAGCTAACATTTGTTGAGCTTTTAGGCCAATCACTATGTTAAGTACTTAACAGGTATTAATTCATTTAATCCCTGGAACCACCTTATGAGGTAGGTGATTTAGTATTATTATTATTATCCCCATTTTATTAATATCCCCATTTGGGGGGAGTAGGGTGGTCACTGGTACTGTTCGCCACATCCCAGTTCTGCTGGGCACATGGCTGGGTGGCATCCCTAACCCCCTGAGGATAGGCGTGGTCAAGTGACTTGCTTAGCCAATGCAATGTGAGTGGACATGACATGGGCCACTTCTAGGTTGAAGCCTCTAAGCCAGGGGGCAATTTGCCTCATCTCCTGCTCAGTGCTGTGACAGTCAGAGATGGAGCTGATGGTGGCTCTGTCAGCCTGTGACTCGAAATGAGGACAATGTGGAGCAGAGACCACGTGACCCAAGATGGACATGTGGAATGAGCAAGAAAGAAAACTTTCTTGTTTTAAGTCTGTGAGACTTTAGAGTTTTTGTTAACAGTGAATGGGGTAAAAAACAGGTATTGTATAGAAACTAGGCAACATCTAGAGAAGTATGGCACGTGTAACGGGGGCAGAGGAGCATCTACTTTCTACCAGGGGACTAGACCTAGCCTCTCTACGGATCTACCATTAACCTGCCACTTGAGTACCCAGGAGGCCAGCCACATAGACCTCAGAGGCAGAGCCAACTAGACACTCTATAGTGGGACTGAGTTTGTCATTTTCCAGGAAGAGAAAGTGGTTAGTGCAGCTGGAGCCCAGAGAGATGAGTTTGGAGAGGTAGACAGGGGCAGACTGTGTAGGATCTTGCAGGCCACAATAATGCACTTGATATCACCTTAGTTGCAAAGTACTGCCATTAGATGGTTCTCAGCAGGGGACTAGCACACTTCACCTTTACAGATCTCTCTGGCATCTGCTGAACATAGAATGTATCAGACAGAGGCACAGCTTGGAAACTCCTATGGAGGTTTTACTGAGGGATGATGACCCATCTACAATGGTAAATGTGATACATTCTAGGGTACAACTTACAGAACCCGATGAGGTATTGGAGGTGGAGGGGAAGGACAGAGAAGAATCAGAGATGATGTCTGGATTCTGGCTTGATGAACTGAAGAGATGGGGAATACTTTACTGAGAAGGGGAAGACCTTAGTGGAGGAGAGGTGAAATAGATCTGAGTATGAGAAAATATATAATTCAATTCTGGAAACATGATTTTGAGGTGTCCCAGTGTCATAACCCAAATCACAGAGGGACTATGAGAATGAAATAAGTTATATAATAGTATAACCATGCCTGGCACATAAACACCTACAATAAATGTTGTTTTCTGTAAGAAGCTATGCCCTCTTTTTGTACATTTACCAGCAAAATGCTTGGGGGAAGATTAAAGATAATTCCACCACCAGCACCACCATTCCTGTCTATAACCCCCAGGTCACTCACTAACTGTCCCATAGCACAGCTTGCTCATCACGCAGTCCTGGGGCATCTGGCAGCTGCAAAGTGAAGTCTGTTTTCAAATTTCCTATCTTCACTAGCCCCCAATACTCTTCATTCATTTCCTCCCTGTGAGAATATACGATTCCTCTATTTTAAAATCCCATCAAAGTTTTGGACTATCCAGGATATATTTTTCCTTTTAGTTATTTCTAGTATCTAAGTGTCATTAACCAGAAAATAACCCATTAAAGGGCAAAAGTATTTAGCTTCCCAAAGTGAAACGGAATCATGAAGCCTTGATTAAATTCATAACATCATCTTATCTCATGTTACTAGACAGAAAATTCATTTCTAATTCCATCTTTGGATCTAAGTAGGAGGATTTAGTGAAATACCTATGTGTTCAAGAAAATTTTATTTCTAGCAGAAGTGTTCCCAAGTGACACGGTAACCAGACTTTATGATAAGACAAGTTCAATACCAGCCCCTTTTACAGGAATGAATTTCTAGTAAGGCTAGCAATGATGAGGTGTTATAAGGCAATTTCTCTTAAAATTTGGCAATACATTTGAGCTTTTCTCCCCTGCAAAGACATCTCTGTCTGATTAATTACTACATAGTAAGAAAATTGTTTAGTAACTAGTTTTTTAAATAATTTGCTAAGCTTGACTATACTGCAGCATCTCTGAATACTAAGAGCAATGGGAAATACAGACACTTGGCCAACTGTGCTGTTTTAAGGTGATTATATTGCATACTGAATCACATGGAAATATTTATATTTAGAATTTAATTATGTGACGTACACAGAAAAGACCACGTTAGTTTCTCTAATCATTTGCTCATTTCATCACTTTTCCAATAAAAATACACAGTTGGGTAAAGGCTTTTAGAATAACAGAGTACAGAAATT